TACCTGAATATCGATCCAGTAGTGCGTGGATGAATAAACCTAACAAACTGGTGTCCTTTACTTTCCAAACTATCAAGTAATATTCCCAATACAATGAACTGTTAGATAATACATTATACTTTGACTTACTCCTCCCATCTGGTTTTATTAATCACCTTTTTATACCTGGATATCGATCCAGTAGTCCGTGGATGAATAAACCTAACAAACTGGTGTCCTTTACTTTCCAAACTATCAAGTAATATTCACAATACAATGAACTGTTAGATAATACATTATACTTTGACTTACTCCTCCCATCTGGTTTTATTAATCACCTTTTTATACCTGAATATCGATCCAGTAGTGCGTGGATGAATAAACCTAACAAACTGGTGTCCTTTACTTTCCAAACTATCAAGTAATATTCACAGTACAAAGCATGCATCGCATTGTATGGTTACCACTTGATTATTTTGCAGTTAGGTCAGTCATTTGGTTGAAAAATCGACAACTGTGCAGTCCTTTCTTTCCGCCCGGGTTGCGCATAACTTCGGTGCGTCTGGTTGATATAAATACCAGTCTTCCCGAATTGCAATAAGGGAGCTGTGCTCTATAAAAGAACGAGAAGTTAAGATATGCTGTGTAAATCTGGCAAAATGTGTGCCATCTTGCTAGGTTTATGTGTGAGTGATGTTTCGTGTGTTGCTCAGGTGGTGGTTTTTTCACGACTCCTAGATGGCAGCACTACCGACAAAAACATGGCGATTCAGGTTGGTTGCTATGTTATGACGGAGAAAGCGATTTTATTGTCGTCAATTAGCTCAGCTAGTAGATCCCTCCCTCTCACCTGATGTGTGGACTTCCCAGGTTCGAACCCAATTCAAGGTGATACATCAAATTCACCCCCCCCCCCTCCCGAAAAACAACAACAACATACACATACACATTTTTCTTGTGGAAATTTATTTCACAGGCTCGTATACGAAACCGAGACCTGTCACACGGCGAGTGTCTTACCTACCAGCTATCCCTAATAAGACAATGTTTAACATCTTGGAATATCACAAAAGTAATG